AAAAATAAGTTTAAAATGATAATTTTTAATCCCTTAACTTTTAATATATACATATTTTTTGTCCATCCATTTTAAATTAAAGGATTAAAAATGTGCGTATTTAAAAAAACTTAATGGAGTAATTAATAAAAGGCCTAAAAAAAATATAAAGAATGGATTAAAAAAGTATATAAAAAAATTAAAGAATGAAAATTATATAAAATATCAAAATTGAGGACTAAAAATGAAATTTGCCTTTTTGAAATTTGAATTGATTTGAATTGTAGCGGGCAATTGAAAAAATGAAAGATAAGACAGCTGGATGTGAGAATAGAGGAGGATTTGTGCAATCAAAATTGCAGGGTTGGCTAAAACGACGTCGTTTTGATTAGTCTTTTTTTTTTTTTTTTTTTTTAATTCTTGCATATTGTACCGGTTAAATTTCGGTATACCAGCTGGTATTTTGAAATTTCGGCCGATACACCGAAATTTGATCGAAATCACTGAATTTTGACCAAAACAAAATTCATTCTTATTTCGTTTCGGTCTACTCTAAAAATCAATATGTACCGGCCGTACTGACCGTACCAACCGGTACGAAACGGTATTTGCTTCTTTGTTTCTTATCATGGTCAACACTCGATCTGTCCGAGCTAAAAATCAGACTCAACCTCTTGGCTCAACCGTTAACTATTAATTTCAAACCGCTATACATAATAACCACATCTAGGTCTGAAAGTTGAAAACGCTTACTATCAATCCCCAATTCCCAAACCATTGCCGCTCGAGAAGCTCGACGCATTGCCGCCAAAGCTGCTCTCGTCACGGTAAGAGTGATTGAAATCTAAACAAATAGCTTTGTCTTTCCACTTAAATCTAGGGATCAGAGCTAGGCATTGAATGTAAGAGCATGATTGTTTTCTAATTTGGAGCCAATGTACCGAATGGGAAAGAGAGGTAACGCGGTAGTTGATGGATTTTTGAATTAACTCTTTAGATGTACTTGATTGAAATATAAACAAATAGCTTTGTCTTTCCACTTAAATCTATGGATCAGAGCTAGGCATTGAATGTAAGAGCTCGATTGTTTTCTAATTTGGGGCCGATGTACCCAAAGGGAAAGAGAGGAAACGCAGTAGTTGATGGAGTTTTGAATTAACCATTTAGATATCCTAGATAATTAATAGTTGTTGTTTACTAATTAATAATTATTGTTATTTCTAATTCAATACACTTTATCCATTTAATTAGAGTTAATAACTAATAATTGTTTAAGAAACAATAAAACAAACACCCCTCAAACTTGCTTGCTTGCTTGCAAGTGTCGGGCATAGGCAAGAACACTCAAGCAAGTAATTTAAGTTGAATTCTAGATTTTTTTCTTGTAATTTCAAATTGTTTTAATAATTAATTTTTCAACCATAAACTTTGTTACATTCTTCAAAAATTTTTTTTATCAAACTCAATGTTAAGCTCAAACTCAACTTATTTACCAAATGAATCAAGTTTGAGATGAACTCAAATCAAGCTTGACTCAAGTAACTCATGAGTTACTACCGTGCACAAACAAATTTCATTCACATCTCTTATAGAAAATAATTGTTTCTTTCCTATTGTGTCAGATGGCCTCCAACAAGGATAATCAATCAAAAAAGAAAGGCCAAAAACATGAACCTAAAAAATGGAGTTGGGATGAGATGGCTGAATATGCACAGTTTGATGATGAAGTACTAGGAAAAGGGTCATCTGCGGTGGTGTACGGAGGATACAAGGGTCAAGAAAAATATGCAATTAAGGTAATTACATGGGACCCACCTAAGAAGAATGAAAACAATCCTGCTCAGCGAAAGGCTAACCTCCAGTCTCAATGGAAGGTATGTATGAAATTCTGATAAATTCGGTACTTAATTCAACAAATACCTTACTGATCTTTTCCTCAGAATGAAGTGGCTTATCTCAGCAACAACAAGTTATTCCATAAGAACATTGTGAAGCTCATTGCATATGGCCAAGAGAAAGAACATATAGTCAACGGGCATAAACAAGAGTGTTGGTTCCTTGTCTATGAACGCCTGCATTGTTCCTTGGAAAAACAAATCAAAGGTAAAGAAAAACTTCAACTATATTTAAATATGCTTCGCTAAGTATGGAATAGGGATGGTAATTTCCTCTGCAACCCGCGGAGCTTCACAGATTTCCTGGCCACGGAGATAAAGATTTCGAGAATATTCCTCCCGTGAAGTATAGATGGAGGCATTTTTTTCTCCATGAAATTTAGTAGGGAATTTCCTCCGCCCTATAGTGAACCATGGAAGTCCATATAAAATAAATAAATTTATTTATATATATTTTTAAATATATTAACAATTAATTTTTATTTAGTCAACCTAATTAATTGACCAATCTATTTTTCTTTTAGTTTTTCCAAACTCAATTATATAGTCCAATCCAGCCCATAATCTTCTTAAACTTAATTGCCCAAGCCCAACTCAATTTGCATTATCTTCTTAAACTTAATTGCCCAAGCCCAACCCAATTTGCTAGTAACTCTAGAACTAGGACTATTTCAAATTTCTGAGATTTGCGAATTTGCTCTGCAATTCCTACTCTAGTCTCCTCTTTTTTGCGCTGTAGCTCACTGGCTTTGCTTCTATTCTCCAATCAGTCAATTCCTTTCGACCTATTATTCTTAGCAACCTTCGAAAGGTAGTGCCCATAACTCTGTTTCTATTTTTCAGTTGGCTACTTGCAGCTTGCCTGAGCCTAAGTTGTGAATATTTGTGAGTATTTGAGTATCTGTGCTTAATGATTTACTTTGAGGTGAAACAGGTCTCATTCTTTTGGCCTTATTATTTTCGATTTCATTTTCCCTTCGATTGTTCGTAAGATTGTCAGAATGTGATTTTTATTGTTTACATGCTTGCGCAGCTTATTTCTCGCATTCGCAGCGAACGATAATTGTATTGTTATTTTGAAGCTCATTCAAGCTCTTAATTCGTTCTATCTTTAGTTAATTTCTCAAACAAGAAACGAGTATCGAGTTTTATTTGGTGGGAACTTCGAATACTCGTGAGGACCTATTATTCCCCGCAAGTATGGGGACGTAGGTTATTTTTTATCCTCCACCAAAAATCCCCATGAGGATCCCTGTACCTGTCATTGACGGGGATGGGGATGGGGATGGGGATGGGGAGGGAGTCCCCGCCCTTGTGGGAACCCGTTGCCATCCCTAGTATGGAAGGCCATGTTTTGTTTGCTGGAGTAGCTATATCTCACAATCAAATGATAGAAGTAAATCTGAGGAAGAACTTCACTTTGACATAAATTTAAAGACTTAAACTAAATTGGTATTTATCTAAATTAGACTCTCTGAATGTTCTCTGTTCAAAATTCTTGAACTAGCATAGAATTCCTCTAATCCTTGAAGCAGTAGTATCATTCACTTTCCTTCTTGTCTTGCAACATATAAGGACTTACATCAATAGCAATTATTCTATTTCTGTTTGGCAGAACTTACTTCGATGCAGGTGTTGAAGATTCTGAAATCGACAGCAGAGGTCTTGCATTTCTTACATGAAAACAATGTCATACACAATGATTTGAAACCAGAGAATCTATTACTTGACAAGGTAATAACAAAATCAAAGCAATACACATTTAAATATCAATATTTGAAACTTCTCTTTTTACCTAACAATATGTCAAAATGATCAGGACTTCAACATCAAGTTAGCAGATTTTGGAGGAGCAACAAGCTCAGGCAAGTATGCTGACCTCAATACTCTGGGATATCATTCAGCACGTAGTCAACTAAGAGAAGGTACTTCTTGAGCTTTCATCATAATTAACGTGCAACTTCTCCTCAGATTTTCTTAAAATAGACACCTAAGACTTTGATAGAAGTAATACCATGACATAACTACATTTAAACACCGTTATTTATCATTTGTAGAAGGGCAAAAAAATAGATTGCCAAGTGCACCTAGCATAATCAGTGAACTTCTACCTGTTTGTGTGAAAAGAGTTTTGTGAGTGCCAATTGACGCCCTAGTTTGCTTGCTGAGTGAGCATCAGGCAGATCATAAAATAGACACTTGCATGGCATTATCAATTACCATATGTAAACCCCATATTAATACGGTGATACTAAAAGACCAAACCCTCAATTGCCTCAAACTAAGGCTTAATTTGTTGGATGCCTATAGTTCTCACAAAGTATTCACTTTGATCCTCTATAAAAACAAGAAAGCAAACATGCATTCTGGATCTTTCCAAGAATTTTTCATCAGAATAAGTAACAATTAGCATCACAGTGGTTTTTTTAGAAATTTAGAACTATCAGTTCTTAAATTAATTGTTTGTGACACTTCATTTAGATCTCATTGTAGCTATATCTGTTTCCATGGCAGCAAATGCAACACCTGCAGGTGATGCATACAGTTTTGATGTGTGCAGCCTTCAACTTCTAATGAGGATGGAAAAGGTTGAAAAAGATACCCCTATAATCATATTTTTAAAAATTAATTATTAGATTAAAAGTTTAAATTAAAATTTTAATTTTTTTTTGAACATGCATTAGAATAGATTAAAATTTTAATTAATACTTTTAAAAATTAATTATTAAATTAAAAGTTTTATTTTACACTAAACTTATACTCTTACATAGGTATTATAATCATAATATTGTTCTTTACCTCAAACCCCTTTTACAAATTAAAAATATTTTTTATTAAAAAAAATAAACACGGCCATGTGGTCCCCCCCAATGGTACCGTCGCCTCCCTCCCTTTCATCAGTCAACAAGTTGGAATTCTCTATTCAAAAAAAAAGAAAAAAAAAAAATTGGTATCTCTTTATTTTTGTCAAAGAACCGTTTTTATAACATCAGTAGTTTTCTTTACAGGGATTGTTTTCATAATTAATAAGATTAGATGTGAATATTGGACTTATTTGTAGATTTTCTCTTCTCTCTCCGTTTCTTTCGTCATGTTCTCTCTTGGTTTCCTTGAATGGAATGAAGTAGAATGCACTAAGTCACATAATTTCCTCCAATGCACCACACACAAACGTGAAGTGTGTATTAAAAATTTTACTTTCTTTAAAATTGCTT